ACTTTAGATTTTCTACTTTTTACTGTTGACTTTCTGCTTTTTACTGTTGACTTTCTGCTTTTTACTCTAGATTGCATTTTGAACCCGATACCCCGCCATACTAAGGAACCCCATGGTTCCCCCGATGGCATCTTGTGTCTATTGCGTTAGGATTTTTTTCTAGAAAGATTAACCAACATAGCTATGAAGGGTTCATATATAATAGTCAAGTAATAGTCTTAAAAACGGATTTCTTTAGACGAGAGTCGTTTGTCTATACTAATTGCAGAGTTATTTCTCTTGTGGTCATAATAACCCTCTAGTATATATATATATGTTTCGTTGGCTGACAACCGATATTTGCACCGAAGTACTTCTTCCATTCGTCATGCACTTAATAGTGATGTTATACACAGAACAAGGTGGGGCCTATTACAGGCATTGTGCATTGAGTCCTGGTCTATATCCTTATAGGCCTAAGTTCGATCACTGCGATGGCCGTGAAAGGTCATGGGGTATTTTCCGGTGTGGTTTCTTACCCTTGTCAGTGATGTAGGGCGGAGGGCCTGACAAGGACAGCTGTCTAGTCGTTTGGATGGGATGGGATGAAACACCGAGGTTCCGTGTATACATTAGCATGCACGTAAAAGATCCATTGACAGTTGGAATTCGATATAAGAGTAGGCCTTTGCGCCGCTGTCCGGTCAAAATTTCCCTCATAGCACACTGCATGACGTATGCCCGTCTTCATTTGCCTAGTAAGAGCAGAACAGTAGGACGTTAACCCCATTTCATTTCATTTCTTATCCTTATGAACATCTACTTAATGATTTCCCGAATGAGCCCCTACTTTGTCAGATAAGACATTATTTACAGGTTACAGTTCCTATAAATAAATGGGCAAGGTGACCATAAATCGATTTGGTGTATTGATTTCTTTGTAAACTTAAACCGCGAAACACTGTCAGCCCATTGGATCTTCTTAACCAATAAAAACTCTATACGTTGAGCTTTTTTTTAAAAAATTTATCTATTTATTCATTTATAGCACGATCTAAAAAAAATTTTAAAAAATGTTTATAAAATTATATCACTGCAAATATGTGAAATTTGCACGTATTTTTACAAATAAATAAAATGCCTAATATTAAATAGGAAGATGTATCAAGTGCTCTGTGAGTAAGCTTACCCTTCCCCGTAGTCCTGATCGACTACACAATGGCTTGGATTTAAGACACTTAAGCAACCCATACTTTTAGGAAATAATACACAAAATACTTTTTTTTTAATATTAAAGCAATCTTGAAGATTAAAGATGGGTTAAATACATAGAAATATGTAAAGAAAATATTTCCTTTATGATCTATTTCCTAGATTCTTCTAAACTATGTGTATGATTTCTATGAATTGTATACAAATAACGAATAGTGGGGATTTTAAGACAGCAAGACGGAAGAAAATTGTTTACTGTTGGGTGTTATTTTTAATTTTATCTTTTTTATGTATAATTAAAACACCCGGTTTCTATATAATTTTGATATAAAACTGATAATGTTTGAGATATAATTCAAGTCTTAACTATTTAAGGACATTAGGATAGGTGTGTGCGTGTGTCTCCAACAATTACAAGAATTCTAAAAATGAAATGAAATGAATTGAAATGAGGTTTAACGTCCTACTGTTCTGCACTGACTGCTAATACGCCATACAGGGTGATATTACGGACATTTTTCTCGGAAAGTGACACTACGGCCTACTCTTATGTTGAAATGAATGGATAGCACGTGCGCGCTGTATCAAAGGTCTGTCATTGAGTCAACTAGCGTGGTTCGATTCCCCGGTTGTACGTGACAAGGAGTAGGGTCGCCTGTCCAACCTTATGGGTTTTCTCCGGGTCCTCCGGTTTCCTCCTCCACTGCTAAAGACCCATACGCGCAAGCGAATTATTGAAATAAAATTGATCCATGTGTTGGTCCCGAAATGACCTAGTTTGCGTCGAGTGGACGTTAAACTCTCTCTCTCTCTCTCTCTCTCTCTCTCTCTCTGTTCTTATAAGTGTATGCCAATTTGTATCACCCAGTACATGTATTCCATTGCCTGGAAACCACACCAGGAAGTCACGATGAACTTTCTGGGCTTACACCAAGATTGAACACGGGAACTCTAGGTTAGCAAGCAACGTCTTACTTACCGAACCAAGAAATCTGAACGCCAATAATCTTAACAGATAGCATATGATGGATATGTTTTCAAAACGAATCAATCAGTTCCAATTTTACTTCGTTCTTTAAAAAAAAACGCGTGTTTGCCTGTAGAGAAGTAAAATGTCCATTTCCTTGACTGTTGTGTTTTCGTAGTTTGCATCAAAGTAACGGTGCGTTATTTGCATTTTGTAGGAAACTATCAAAATTTTCACGGCTTAATCCAAGCTAACATGTACCCAGATTGATTATTTAACATCTAATTAAGAAAACAAAACAAAATATCAAAGCTAGATAATATCCTGACTTGAGTTCAATAGGATTAAAAACAGGTCCATAAAGTAGATTTCGCGAATACGTTAAGATGGCGATCAGTCGATTACAACATGGCGTAAAGTTCAGTAAAATAGAAGTGAGTCATAATAACAAAGACCAAGGACAATATTCCACTGCAAAAACGTTAGGGCAATAATCTTTTAAATTTACTATGATAGAAGAATAGACAAGGCATTTAAGAATTTATATTTCCCTATAAATAGCCGTGTTGATCTTTTATTGCGTAGTATCCTATTAAGGGATGTGAATTATCGCTTTTTGACGTAGTTGTTCTAATCATCCTATTTGGTAAATCATCCTATTTAGTAAATAATATCTTATCTGTTTACCCGACATTGCACAAGTAGAGCCCTGAACAGGAGTTCACCGCCACCAGACCCACGTCATTCACTGGCTCGAGCTGCCCTTACATCTCAAATTTCAGCCTTGGGGGATCCCTAGGGTAGCCGTCAACCCCAAACAGGCAAACAGAAATAAAATGAAATGGGGTTTAACGTCCTACTGTTCTGCCCTGATTGAGCTAATGAAGACGGGCATATACGTCATACAGTGTGCTATGATGGAAATTTTGCCCGAACAGCTGCGCTACGGACTACATTGGAATGCACGTAAAAGATCCCTTGGCAGCTGGAATTCGATATAAGAGTAGGCGATAGTGCCGCTGCCCGGGCAAAATTTCCCTCATAGCACACTGTATGGCGTATGCCCGTCTTCATTAGCCCAGTATAGGAGCAGAACAGTAGGACGTTAAATCCCATTTCATTTCATTTCCGTACACGGGACCTCGGTTCTTCATACCATCCGAAAGACTAAACAGCTGCCCTTGTCGGGCCCTGCGTCTGGCATCACTGACAAGGGGAAACCGCGTCGGAAAATCCCGATGAACTTTCTCGGCCAGGCTAGAGAGCCAGCGTCTTACTCACTTAGCTACGGTGGCTCCCCAAACAAACAAACGGCCGTCTAAAATATGAGAGAGAGAGAGAGAGAGAGAGAGAGAGAGATGTTTTTTAACGTCCACTCGACACAAACTAGGTCATTTCGAGACTAACACTGGTTCAATTTCATTTCAATAATTCGCTTCCGCGTCGGGATCTTTAGCAGTGGGAGGAAACAGGAGGACACGGAGAAAACCCACGAGGTTGGACAGGCGACCCTACTCCTTGTCGCGTACAACCGGAGAGACGAAACCACGCCAGTTGACTCAATGACAGACCGTATGATACAGAGCGCACGTGCTAACCTTTCGCCCCCCCCCCCCTTCTAAAATATAAGTATATAGAGAGATGGCCTCACTCGTAGAAGATCAATAATATATGGTCCTTTGGACATGGTGTTCGGGATTTTATTTGCGTCATTTATTTTGTCTTTTTTTTTTTTGTTCTTGGAAAAAAGTACAAGGAAGTGTGATAATATAATTATTTCACTGTAAACAATCCTTGAGGACCTTCAGGGCAAGCCACGTGATTATCTATCCTTAACTTCCTGGTCTGATTCATGACGGCGACAGGAACTCCGATTCAATGGCTACAGGAATATCCTGGAAAAAACGCGTTGTTCGACATGTGACCCCAATATTCTATGTTTCCCCAAATTCTTGCAATTGATAATTAATGATATTACCATTCCTTAGATTTTGATAAACCATTTTATTTGCCCCTAAGCATTTGTTTTACCAAAGAAAATTCATTGTATTCCATTTAACCTGTCTCGAAAACTCTTACGACGTTCTCTTCTAGGCAATATCGTGAAAAGGGCAAAATAATGAAAATGGGACCGCAGCCCAACCTGATTCAACTGATCAAGACATGTTATTAACCAATTGCTGTTCCTAAAAATCCGACTAATTAAGAGCAATTGGACGGATAACATTCTATCAAAGTGATTTTATAATCCCCATCTCGCATGCCAATATATGGCTCTTCACTTTCCACTCGAGGTATTATCGCAGAAAATATAAAGGATAGTAAAATCGGCTTATCATAAATGTCATAAATACAAACATACAACCATACGTGCATTTCTATTTACAGTAACAGGATCAACCGCTGACCAACAAATAGGCGGGGAAAACATTCAATACAAACCATGACGAACGCGTGCACAGAGCGAGAGGATATATAGTATTTATTGTATATAACGCTTGAATGTCAATTCATTCCAATTCTGTTTGACAAAATCAAATAGAACGACACGGCGTTGTTGTGCCGACGTTGAAAAACGAGTCTTGTTGTAAAATCTTATTGGAATAGAGAATTTAAGGTAAGGAAGTATTTTATTTTTAGAAATTGAAAGTTTTTAAATTTTATTGGAGTAAATTCTTTGTCTTGACAATTTTTTGAAAACAAGAAAAATAACAAACTTGTTCAAGGTCAATTCCTTTAGTTGATAAAATAGTATTGTGGAAATCAAGAAAAATAACCAAAATAGTTTGGAAATAAAAAATTGTTGCTGTTTTTTTTAAATAAAAACAAATAAACTACTTACATTACTGCTTATTGATTAAATTAACTGGACGTCGTATTAAATACCCTTTTTAACATCTTACACAACTACAAAAATCAAGAGTAAAGTTAAGTGGTTTCTTCAAGCATGTACATGTAATACAAATCATGCAAAATAAATTTAGATCACACATGTTCCAGAAAATAGGTGGTCATGTAAAGACAGTTTCATAATAGGATATTTCATTGAGATTTGTAAAGTTCACTTATGTGTGCGTAGAATAATGATGATCTGAATGGGGAACCCTGCATGGTCCCAATAATAAAAGAGCTGACATAATATGTTATTAATAACCCAGTACATGTAGATATGCATGTGAATAGATCAAGGTTTTATCAGTGATTATATACAACCACCAATATGGTCGATGGCGTATTTGGTAGCTGGGTAGGGGGTAATAACAATGGGTGGTAACACTTATAAAGCTCTTCATGTCATAATAGAAGTACAGCAGACAATTTGCTACATCCGCTTCTGAAATGAAACAAAGAAAGTCACGCAAAACGTGGAAATACACCCACGGTAAAGGGCTGCAGCTTATCAGAAAAGAAAACCGGAATGTTGAACAAATTTGATAAGGATCTTTTATGCCTTCAAGATATCTGATTTCTATCGTGTTCACGGGCTCTTGCAGGCACGTTATATATCTGTGGAACAGTGAGAGTTGTACTAGGAGGCTGATAATCTCTCCGATCCCAGTGCTTAACACCAAATTTGAAAATCAACAAAATTCATCCTATGAGAGCCCTAATGTTTCACGCTAAATTTGAAACAAAATCGATTTTAAAAAAAATTCGGACGGTTTACGGAAAGGGGGAAGGGGTACGACCCCAATATTATGCTTAACTTAAAATTTGGAAAAGCAAGTTTCATGAAATTCAGACCTGAAAATAGCTTTTATACATGTTACTTAAAATAAACTCTAAATATACTCTTCAAAAAACGTAGGGAATATTCAGAAACAATACAAAACTGCGGAAATGCACTACTGTTTTTATTAGAGGTAACCAGTGTATGTTAATAACAGGCCAATTGCCTACACATGAACGTAAACAGTTCATATGGGCGGCTTATCTGACGGCCCCATTTCACTCGCAAAGAGTCAAAAGTGAAAATGGATGTTTTTGATTTTTGTCTTAATAATGAGTAATTGCTCCACCAATCCTCAGACATGTCTCCCGATCATGTCCCAGCCATGCTCTATAGGGGAAAGGTCAGGACTCATGGCTGGCCAAGGCATATGGACAATATGGTGACGCTGGAGGTAGTCATTCACGACACGAGCGCGGTGGACACGGGCATTATCATCTTGAAAGATGAAACGTCGACCTTCACGTTGAGCAAAGGGCAGAACTATCCGTGCCAGGATGTGGTCACGGTAGTACACACCAGTGACCCTTCCTTGAACAATATGCAAGTCCGTTCTGCCAGTCATGGTGATTCCCCCCCCCCCCCACACCATAACAGAATCTGTCATGCTGTCTGAAGTTAACGTTAGCATGACGCTCATTTACACGCCTCCAAACGCGAGCACGCCTATCGGTGAAATCCAGAGTAAATCTGGACTCATCTGAGAACATTGCACGCGCCCATCGACGATTACCCCAATTTCTACGCTGCCTACACCATCGACGCCTGTTTGCCATGTGCTGTCGAGTGAATGGAGGCACAATACGCGGTCGTCGCGCATGCGAATGGGTTGCATGTAGCCGATTTCTAATCGTTTGGGGTGTAACTCGAATTCTTGTTACTTGGTACAAGTTTACAGAAAGCTGATTGACCGTTTGTCCTCGATTTCGCAGGAACTGTGTACGAATGTATCGATACTGGGCTTGTGTAGTAGCTCTAAGACGACCTGAATGAGGTCTATCATCAGCATTGTGTGTTTGTTGGTACCGGTTCCACAGTCTGCTGATCGCACATTAAGCATGTTGGCTACTGCTCGCTTTGTAGAACCCATTTGAAGCATGCAAATAGCATGTAGACGTTCATCATGTTGAAGACGTCTCATTAAACGCAAATTAAACGTAACACACTAAACCAAAGATGCGCCAAACAGTAAATCTTATGCAAGAACCGAAAGGAAAGCAAACATGGATAGGATAAACCAGCACGCGGCAGGTTTTTTTTTTATCAACCCTTCCTTGAAGTGTCAAATTTGACAATGAACCCCTCCCACGTGTATGGCGCTATTGCGTGTCGCATGTGCAGCTCAGTGGTTCTGTTGGGGCGATAAGTTCTTCATCTGTGAACATACTCTCAAAGCATGTCAAGTGTTCATGACTATTTATCATATCACAACCTACATAGGTATTTGTATTTCAATATCCCCTACTTTTTTTGAAGAGTATATAATGATCTAATTATGGCGAAAAGAAACAGACTTTTCCGAAAACTACGATCGTTATCCTGCAAACAAGTAGTTTTAACTGTTTTTGGTCTAATCTTATATCGAATTCTAACTGCCAATGTATAAACTGGACCTCGGTTTTTAGTCACATCCGAACGACTAGACAGCTGTCCTTGTCAGACCATCATACTTCCTGCACAACTGACAAGTGGAAACCACCTCAGAAATTCCCGATGAACTTTCTCAGCCAATGCAGGGATCGAACACGCGACCTCTAGGCTAGCGAGCCAGCGTCTTACCCACTTAGCCACTGTGGCTCCCTGGCGAAAAGAAAAAGGGATCTTTGTCTTATTTTAATGCAATTTTCCTGAAAGTTTCTGAACAATTTGATGATTACTCTTGCCTCTATCGTACTGACAAGCATAACAAGCATGTGGACAGTTTTAGCAAAAAGGGATGTAAATCTGATATAGTCATCCGATTTTGCCGAAAAGAAATAGCAATTCTCGTCTTGTCATAGTACAAGTTTATGGAAATTTTCAGATGAATCGGGAAAAAAATACAGTGGCCTCAAATGCGCTGACAAGAAGTGTGGACAGTTTTCGGCAAAAAAGGGACATAACTCGAAAAATATTAATCCCGTCTTGTCATAATACAACTTTCGTGTAAGTTTCAGTACCGACGAACGAAAAGGTGGTCGTAATATACGCCCACATTAACACGTGGGCGTATAAAAGTGTCATCTGCTTATCTAGGAAATGCAGAATTACTTTGCACACCACGATATGAGAACTGAGAAGACTCTTTAACTACGTTAGCTAACACCTTTTAAGTTACAACAAAACACATACTTATGGAAAACAGCTACTAGTGTATTTAAGGCGACGTTTCGTAGAGTATTCTCTCAACGTTATCAAGCTAATACAGTAAAAACAGGTATGAGGCAAATATATATAGACAAGTTGTTGTGAAGAAATAATATTTCGAGAAACTACTGTATAAAAATGTTTTAGACTTTTAAATCGTAAGTCTTTTTAGAACAAAATTCAGTCGATTCGAAATATTCTTTGTTTAAAATGTTTGACCTCCATACCCATGTTTAGCGGACATTGACAACAAATAAACTTAATACTCAAGTTATCAAAGGCCTTTAGGCACATTAAACCGTTATTAATATCGAAGTTCGACTTAAAACTAGTCTCTATAAAATATTTATTATACAAATATCATATCGCCCCCTGCTGCAATTGGGGCATAATTCATACATACAATAAATAAAAGTTGACAATACTCTACTACTAGATTCAAATTGAATTGCGTTACCTAGCAATATTATAAAACGCATGCATTTTGGCAGGTTTAATTTCCTTAATTTAAAAGAACTCTCATTTTGGCACAGTAGCTCATTCTACACTTTAAAAGGTAATCTGAAAAACAGACGTTATTTCGCTTCGTTTCTTGTAGTTAAAAAATCGAAACGAAATATAGATCTATATTTTAATCAAATTGAGCTGGTATCAAACTTTAAATGTCCTCTGTCAAGGGGTTTACCAATATTAAATACTGTTTGTATAAACAGAAGTGGACTAATAGATAATATATATTGGGCGCGATATAATAATTAGCCCCGTGGACCGAGAAAAATGTCGAGAAGTATCCAGCCCCCCACCACCCCCGTGAAAAAATTGTCGACCATAACAAAATAGATATACATTGTCCTCAATTTTACAGCACCCCTGAGACCCCCCCCCCCCCTTCCGTTGCTCTGAGCTAGTTACGGCCCTGGATTATTTTCAGTAGTCAGTTGATATCGGGTGTCAGCTGCTGGGACTGGAAAAGATATGTGTGTAATATTTCGGGTGAATAGGAAAAACATAACCCCGTTTATGCATTGATGATGCACAAATCGTAAAAAATATCATTACATTTGGATTTCTAATTTGGTAAAGTGCTGACGGGACGTATATGAGCGCTTCGGGGGTCCACTCATGGTAGGCGGATGCCCCACCCCATCCCGCCCCAATCAATCAATCAACCAACCACAATGTGTCCGCCTCTAGATTTTATATGCAAAGAAATAACGTGATGCAGGTGAGACTTTTCTACAACATTCGTTGAAAGTTTGTGTTTCTGCTAATCATTGTTGAATGCGATTGTTTACTTGCACACAAACCACTGTTTACACTAAGTCACGAATTACTTATACGTGTACCGTAAGGTGGCGTTGACAACACTGTCACTAATTCTAAGAGGAAACGTGAAAAGCTGATCGATACCACCTTGAGTTGGTGTGGAATTTAAACCATATGTTGGTGAAAAATGCAATGCTAAAATCTTCATCTTATTTCACAAGCAACATTTATATCATTTTAGAATGTAAAAGGACAAAGGACAGATCCTTGCGCATTACATGAGCCCGTTCTAGTGTGTGTTAACATCTTTTTTAGACTTTTATTGATAACTGCTGCATGGTTTCGAAGGATGTAACGAAGTGGGCTAGAGAATAGTTCGGAAATGTTACAAATACAATACCGTACCGTCATAATATTGCAATATCCTATTTAACAGTAAAATTTAAGACATTTATTACACAGACGACAGTTCGTCGTGTAGGGATTATAGGGCGAAGAACTCGTATTGAAAACGAACTTTAAATGTTTTGATCTTTTATTGTATGGGTCTATAAGGTCATGATCGCCCATCGACAGTTTAGAAATTGGTTTCCAGGCTCTAGCTAATGGACAGGCCAGATCTAATTATTAAGGCCAACTCAAGATTTCGTCAAGGTCGCTGAGATGTAAATAAGGTTAGGGCACGTGATTGTTTGCTAGATTTAGGTTAGGTTTAGGGTAATCGTTAGGGCTAGGTCCTGGGTTAGAGTTGGGATTAGCGCTAGACCGTTGACCAAACTTGAAGTTGGCCTTAGGAAATAGATCTAACAGTAATGAATACGTTATCTGAATGACTTCAAACATCAATTACTTGACATGATCAGACAAAGGTACACGATGTTCATTTTGAAATTAAAATCTATCGACCAAAGTTCAAGGTCAATATCACCTATCTGCATTTTTCAATATTGGTTTCCATATTATATAGCTAATGGACGACTTGTGTGATTGCATTTTTACTCGACAGGATACGATAGGACCATCTAATGATTTGGGTGGATATGAGTTTAAGATCATCAATAATGTCATCATGATTATTGTTTGCACTTATTTCACACCACACTTAGGGGAAGATCGGTGCATATTGACAATGAAGATCATAACAAAATTACAAATACGTGTAGCAGAAAAAATAAAATGAATAACGATACCAGCTGCACATTTCAAATAAAGGTCTGCCAAAACGGTAATGTCCATAACGTTGCCTTTAAATGTTGTACCTCTTCAATGTTAATTCCCAATATAAAGCAGTCACTGAAATTTTGGCATGAGACATCACTAGTTACATTCTATAGGCTTACTAATTCTGTGTGATTTTGAATAATTAGTCATAAGATAGTTTAATTTCTTACCTTACGATTTATCAGGATATTACGTATCCATTATAATTTTTCAAATATTTTAGTTAATAGTAAGTAATGCGATGGAGACAACTTCCTTGACACCCAGAGAGTAGTTAATTTGATGATTGAATCTGTTCTGGCAGTAATTTCCTGATACTCGCAACGGGATAAAGTTATTCACTATATTCTAATAGTTAAGCACTGGCTATTCATGGCGAGGATTAACTATTCAGGCTTAAAACTTTATATATTAGTTAAAATAAAAAAATTCCAATCTAAAGTTAATCTTGTTTTGTTTTTTATTTTTGTTTTAATTTTTGTGTGTTTTTTTTTGGATGGGGGTGGGGGAAAGGTATGATTGAAGCATGTAAGTCGGTGAAACAATGATTCATAAGGCGGGTTGAACCAGACTATTAAAGTTTTGGTTAAAGTTTTGTGGATCCTTTTTTGCTTATTCAGTTTTCTTGTGTATATATATGTAACTTGATTTTTGTTATAATTCGGACCACAATTTATTAACCCATTGTTCATAATTAACTAGTTTGCAAATATCGGTAAACATTTTAAAAAATGTCGACGAGTTCGTGTTGAAAAATGTGTAAAGAGGGGATTTGTTTTTGTTTTCCTCTGCATTTACAATACTTAGCCTTTGGAGCCAAGATCAAAGGAACCGACATGTCTTTCATTAATAAGTTTTAGACTAATTACCAAAGTAGTCAGTAAATCGTCTATGGTGGAATTATTAGAGAACTGAGATTTTGTAGACCTTTGTTCTGTTGAAATTTGACGTGACATCTTGACCACATCAATACACTTTATGCTCTAGTTTGTTTATGTGGGTGTGACACCTGAATATTTGTAATTCGGTTTCTCTTTGGTATGGCACGAATGCACTTTCATTACGCATTTTTTTGTTTTTAACATAATTCATTCTTGAATATCAAAAAGCATGTCAACAAAGGATTAGGAAAATCAGCATGGACTGTATACTCGAACTTTTTTTATTATTATTATTCGAGGAAGTCCACACATCTAATTACATACAATATCATACAAAATTCAATGGTTTAGGTTATTCAGACGTTACTTCGTTATAATCAGCAATTGAGTGCGTAGCCTACCTGTGTTCCTTTATGTGGGTGCTATTACGCAATTAATTTTTGCCTTGTGCTTATATGCTGGAAATGATCTAACTCGTCTGGTATTTTGACGGATATAATTGCGTTTTCAAGGTGCGCGATTACTATCTTCACGGTTGTTGCTACGTAACGCATTCTTAGATACACGAGGGTTTGGTAGCTTTGTACTTCATTTTAACATTTAGATTGAAAGCATAAGAGGGTTGTACACATACAACAATAAGCAAACACTGAGTGGAAAACACACGGACACCAACAAAACATTGTAAGCAATCCAGGGGCGAGGCAGCAGCAGCAGCAATGTCAGTTATGTTTTTGGTTTCAAGGAATTTATCTCTATTGTTTGGGTAATGGTAAAAAGAAACATTAATTTAGATGTCAACATTTTCCTAGACGAAACTTCTTTGAAGTATGTTGTTTGAGAATATTGACACTTTTTCTCGGGCCAAACTATCAAGTAATTATCTAACTATTTCCAGTATTCATGCCATTGATGTTCTGTTGTGCAACAGCTAAGATTTGCATTATTTCACGAGTCTATAGTGAACTCTTTTGCTATTACATGCTGTGTATTATTAATGCCCGTTTTCTTCATTATTTCTTAAACCAATATAAAACTAAGAAACGGCCTACACCACCATTAGATAATATGGAATGTATTACTGGTAGTGTCTCATCAAAATGGAAGAATTGAATATTATAGCATTAATTTGGAAAGTGTTACTGGTAGTGTCTCATCAGAATGGAAGAATTGAAGAGACATATAGCATTAATTTGGAAAGTATTACTGGTAGTGTCTCATCAAAATGGAAGAATTGAATAGGCATATAGCATTACAAAACTATTTAGAGCTATAGCTTCTTAGTTGATAAATTGCAGTGTTGAAAACAGTTAAAAACAACTTACCTGAGTACAAAATATAAATGGTTCTAAGTAATTTTTGTTGATCAACGAATACCATTTGGACTAGGTGCATGATCATATTTTTCAATTCGACATTTTGTCGTCTGGCTAGACTAAAATTCTTTCATCTAAATGTCGGGTTGTTGGAATCTGACATTGCAAGTATTTAGTTGTTCAACCAACTCAGTAACTTCAGCGGACCCTTTTTGGAAAATTTTACATCAACACACGATTAAGATATTCCAAGGATCTAAACTGCCCTCTAATCGAAATAAACAGAATTCCACATGGCTTAAGAAAACAATATTCTTGGTTGTTATAGCTTTCAAACTCTTAAATTCTTAACAGTCTGTAAAAACTTTTGTTTCTGTTGCTGAGAACATTCTCGTTCTACAGTTTTTAAAACCCTTTCAACCGAACGTGAACAACTGCACGCAGGACGAAATAACTGAACGAGAAGACGGGACTCTGAAACTAAATTTTTCCCAAATTATCCGGCTTAAAATAAATATTGTTTTTTAACGCTTTTTGTGGTAGTATTTAGATGCGAAATAGTTAGTTCGGTCTCCTAGTCACTTATTGTAGCTTACGTTCTTTTTTCTTTCACAATATTTCTTTCGAACCTGAAAGTTATTACTTGTGGATATTCGGTAATGGAACTGTTGGATTCTGTGTAGTGCGTTAATATAATGTATTGTGTAAAAGTAACGACTAAAGGTGAAGGAAGTATAATGATAATTTGAGTGCGCATTGAAAAATCCAAACGGAATGTTTAGCTGCTCATAAAAGTGTATGTGTTCTACTAGTGTCATTTATAGATTGGTGACATATTAAAACGATTTCTTTATGAAATATCGGTTGAGTAATTTTTGAGAATTCTGAAATAACATCCAAATAACACATTGGACACTGTGGCGATTGACCATACCTAATCCGCTTTTAAAGGATAGCCTATATCGTCACGGCTGTTACGATTAGCTGAAGAACAACAAATCAACAATTTTATTATGTTGTTCAATCCTGAATAAAAAAGTTTGGAATATCTCCCATTCCAACTGGAAATAAAAAGGAATTTTAATGTCGGAGGAAGAAAATGACGAATCTAAGATGTCGTCCAGGAGATATTCTGTGTTCTTTGGGGAGGTTAGTATCTTACATATTTTTTTTTCTTTTTTTTTTTTTTGGCGGGTGGGGGGCGGTCTTTGGGGTGGGGTGGGGATTGGGGGGATCTTACATTTGTAAATATTTAAACATGTTAAAGAGGCATTCTGCTTTATGCGAAAATGTACCGTCGTTTAAGAAAAAAGTGCTTCTGCATGACATATTTTTACGTCCAAACTTTGCGTAACGTTTGGTCAACGTTTTATTAAATCAATATCAAATTATGGTTATTTATGTAAACAAACGCAATTTTCCTGTAAGACGAAACTTAAAATCGATACAACGTCAACCATAAATAGATCCAATCTTCTTTAGAGTCAATGTCAACCCGCACACCTAACCTTGGTATTCAATCAGAGAACACCCTTCTACAGTACTTATTATTCCCAATGTTTTAAAAACTCTTCTCCTTCACTGAAGTGTAAACTCGTGGACTGGCCACGAGTTCAATTTGGCCTGAGGTAATATTTAGGACATACTGCTTCATAATGTAGTCTTGGGACTAAGAAACGAAATACTCAGTCTTACATACACACGGAGATATAAAATTACAAGCTAATAGCTGTATGTAACTTTTTCAAATAAATAAAAAGTGGTATTGGATGTTTATCAATACAATACCTCGTACACTAAACCCATCGTTACAAGGACTGATTACAGTTTGGGGTTTGGATTCCAGCAGCACAAATCTAATCGAAAATACTTTGTGGTAACATTTTCGATACGCCCACAGAGTTAACCTCCATTTGCCGAAAACCTTGTGAATGTTATAGGGGCTACAGTTTTTATCGGGTTCTTTTCAAATCTACTGGAAAGCATTGGGATCATGAGATGATGAACCTTGTCGATATTCAGCGTTCCGCGACTTCCGTTCCGGAGTTACTCTTGTTTGCTGAAAACATAGTTTGATGTGTAATTAATAACGCTGTATAATGGCAAATTTAAATTACATTGGGATCTGTATAATGCTTAAATACGGTCTCGCTGGCAATAAAAAATGAGTACTGTGAGATAAGAGGCGGATCAAGGCTCTGATGGGCCCTAGGCAGCTCGACCAGCTGGGCCCTTTGCGGAACTGGTTAGCCGTAGTAAAACTAAGACTGCTGTAAGAGAAACGAAATTTCCGAGGATATACTGATGGAATAATGTCAAGCACTACAACTTAGTTAAACATTACCAAGTCAGTCGGCCAGTGACGATCAATTGATGCTCAGAGGAGCACAGCAACAACCAATTGCTGGATAAAATGAAAACAAACTTAATTTCCAAGCTGTTATCATCACTTTCAGAAATCACTCCCACCTGGTCGGTCGGCGACTCATTATTCTCGATGATATCATTTGTGTTTTCATCGACTGAGCAGTGACCCTGTCCCTGGCCGCCCCAAAACATCGTGATTTTGGGCGTGGTTTGGCCGCTTTTTTCAGCATTTCAACTTCCATGTTATTTTCTGTTCTCTCTTCTCCCATCTACACCTTTGCCTTTGGGGCATATCAACGGCGATCCGACCAACGTTGAAATGACGCGGCCTTCACGTAATGAAGGAAAGACAAATTTCAAGAGAAAATAGCAAAAACATTTTTAAAATGACAGCGAAACCGGATACCGGGCTAATGCAAGGCGAGCGAGTGACCAGTCTCCCAGTTGGAGTGATCGATCACACTAAAGCTTATCTCGAGCGCTATGGTGTCAAAGACCGTGTGGGCCCTCTTCCCTCATAGTGAACGGCCGACACAACTGAGTGAGGTTCGTTGGAAGCGTAGTCCAGTGAATTAAATAATGTAAAACATCAAATTTAAAAAGGTCGTCAAAAACGTGATAGCGGCTACAGTTTTTAACACATTTTAGCAAGCTTGTGAACACCATATTATAGGTCACATTTCTTGCAGGCATAATGGATACTTATCAAATTTGCTCAACATCCATGTGTTCTTTTTCCATAAGCTGCTATAACGACATAGCTGCTTTGCTGGTGTATTTCTACGCTTTTTATTCAACCGGTTTTCGATTAGCTAGATAACTATGCAATTACAAGATCATCAAATTGTCTCATTGAAAAGGCAACAGTTTGATTTTACATGACAATGTGATTAATGGCTTGATGAATTGATTAAACATTATGTATATAGGTTTTTCAACGATACTAAAAAGGTTATTGTCTTAATGCCCATGATCTGTCAGAACAATCTGTCATAATATACAGAATGTTTATAGACTGGGTAATGTACTGATAATTTCCTGTCATTTGGTGGTGTGCCTATAAGGCAATATTTCATAGCATATGCTTAACTTCACTTCAATGCGAACACACCTAATAGACAACATGGCGGTTTCTTTAATAGTTTCTGTTTAAAATTCTAAAAGAATTTTATTTTGATTTTGATAAAGTTGCTAATTTGAGCGTGTTTGTCTGTCTACAAAATGTGGAAGTAAGTTCAAAATATTATTCTTAGATTTATTTTAAAATCGTGCATTATTTAAAGTAGCTAAGTCTCTAACTCAGTATCATCTAAAATCTTCGACATTGAAAACACGATTTATTTGTCGGTTTAAATCAACATTGATGTTGTGATCTTACCTGGAAAAGATGGCCTTCTGATATCCAATATTTAAGACAAAATAAACATTTTACAATTGGTACACGAATCGTGTACCATAATGCGTTTCAGCGCTATTTGTAATATGGGACTCGAAAACCGAGGCTAGGCATATTCCACAAGTCATGTCAAACGGTGACGCTATATTCTTATCTGGAGAGCAAGCCCAATAAATAATATCGGTGTAGACTGGAATAACCAGGCGCTAGAGATTGAAATTCGATTGAGAATACTGGCGTATTTCGCCGAACCTAACTGATTAAAAATTACAGTAAAAACAGAAACGTTTGAATGTAAATCAATTTATATACATTCATATTACATTAATGTATGCGTTGCGACCCATTTGTGTCAATTTCTAGGTCCCAAATATTAGCGACTTAGCTCCTTTAAGATATCATTCTATCATCGCAGAGAATTACCAAGTTTTCGAGGGTTTCAAAAATATTATGTCAGTTCTTTTTTTTATCTTTAATTGCAATTGTATCGCAAATCTGAAAGTTCTTCGATTCCGACTGGCTAAAATGTATCATTTTGGGATGGCCTAGTGGTCTAGAGTGTCACGCTTCGTGCTTTAGCTGGCCGGTCGTGGTTTCGACCCCTGGTGTGAGCGTTTGTGGCTTGGGGGTGGGGGCGCCTTGTCAACATCGTGGGTTTACTCCGGGTAATCCGGTTTTCTTCCACAGTAAAGACCCCTGGGTGTGCGTTAAGCATAATAAATTAAGACAACCTGTCTGCGATATCACCATCGGTGGAAGCGGACGTTAAACACTAATAGAAGAAGAAGAAAGTTTTCTCTTGTCACAGATGCTCATATAATAATCATAAACTATATAATTAATAGAATATTTCAAAGTGAATTATGCGCTTTGGATTAACGATTGTTTTAAATCACTTAAACGAGTTAAGACAGATCTATAATATATTATTTAGTGCTCACAGACTGCTGGTCCCAATGATTTCAGGACATGATTATTGTACAATAACAGCCCTCTCGATTCAAGACATTAAATGTTTTTATCTCCTAAACATTGTTACTACTGTCACATATCATATTTGTATCCATCGATCGTATGTTTTCCTTGTAAAACATCAGGAAAGTATAAATAAATTTCATATCAATCATGCTTTTTTACACAATAAATAAGATAGGCGTAATACATGTAGTTAAATGAAAGCACAGTTTCTATGGTTGGTATCATTTAAATCATCAACTGTGTACACCGCACCCTTTTCCTGCTTTTTGAAATTAATCATATTTTTTTTTATCGTAGTAATGGGAACTCGAACCCGAATAACTATTAGTTAATAATATATCTATGTTTAAACGCTGTTGCTCGGGGCTATTGGGGTCATTTTCTTATGATGTATTATCATTTTCCAGAAATAGAAATTTCGTTCTTTTATTGATTTCTGTCAATGAAAAGTGTCCTTTTAATATTCAGACATTGACGCTTCTTTTTAAACCACTCATGTCTGTGAATGATCTTGAGCTGGGATATAGTGTAAAAAAATTCCACCCAGCCAGTGCCCATAAATTAATTGGGCCCTTTGTAGACCCCACCCCAATTACAAACTCTTCTGAATCCGCAATTCTTTATATGAGGATACAAGATAGTTCTGTAGTAAACTTTACGTTTTTGCCACCAGTTCTATAGGATTAGGCAAGTGAAGATAAAAGTTAGTTCTATAGAAAACTATAGTTTTTACCACAAATTCTATAGCAGCACCTTTTTTCTGTAGTTTCTTACAGTATTATATATAATTCTATAAGAAATTTCACTTGGAAAAAACTAGACTACGGATCATATACAAAACTATTGTAAATAGTGAAAATATCTACAGAATGGATTCTTTTCCTGTAGTATGGTATAGCATTCTATAGAATCCCATCAAATTATAATATAGGAACCTACACTTTTTCTACCGGAATGTTTTATAAGGGATCTTACCATGATACATTTTACGTCACACAAGTAGCTGAGTCTTTAACTCAATATCATCCCGAGTCTTCGTTATCAAAAACACGAATTATTTGTCAATTAAAATCAACATTGATGTTTTGATCTTACTGGGAAAAGATGGGCCTCTGATATCCAATATTTAAGACAAAATAAACAGTTTACCATTGGTACACGAATCGTGTACCAGAACTCGTTTCAACGCCATTTGTAACAAGGGACTCAAAGAACGAGGCTAGACATATTCCACAATTAGTCATGTCAAACGGTGACGTCATATTCTTATCTGGAGAGCATACGCAATAAATACTACCGGTGTAGACTGGAATAACCAGATGCTAGAGATTGCCATTCGATTGGGACTTCTCGCGTATTTCGCCGAACATTACTGATTTGAAATTAGAATAAAACGGAAACGATTGAA